TTGCGACGACATCGTCAGCTGTACATGAGAGCCTTGTCTTTACCTGAAAATAAGTAGCACATGGCTTGAGTTTTTTAAGAAATTCTTAGTAAGCGACCCCCCTATCGGAGTTAAATGTAAACACATACAATTTCATGAATGAGACCTGTCATTACAGTTTCTTTTTCTACGGCGGCAATCCTAATGGCAACTTGGATGTGTATTTAATTTTCCTACACACGGTTCACACGTGTGAGCGTGGATCCACCAGTCGGTTAGCACACCTCATGGACCCCTTTCTGGTTGGGCGAGTATTCTCTGGTAGCTATTGATATTGGACACTCATTAGGAATAGTAACCATCACGACAACATCATGATAAACATAATGATCATTCTCCTACCTCGTAGCATACAAGTCTTGTTGGATTCGTATGGCAACTCTAGAGGGGTGAATAGGGTTTTAACAATAAAATTATTTAAACGTGATTAATTTTTCTAATTTTTCTAATTATGATTAAAAAAAAGTTAAAGATGATAATTAATACATGCAATAAATTATAATAATAATTTCGAAATTAAATAGGAAAGAATTAGAAAATATAACCCTGTGGTTTTATAGTGGTTCGGTCAAACTCGATCTATTCCGCTCACCAAGTGCCTCTTGAGAATTTGAATAAACCTTTCTCCACTCTCTCCTCGTATCAGAGCCCAACTGCTGCACCGCTCTTTCTACGAGTTCAAGAGCAAACTCAATCCCTTTCACGATTTAGGATCAAACCGGTACAAATGTCTGAATTTTGTAGGAAGACACCACAGCTCTATAAAATAGTAAATTTACAATTTGATCACTCACAACTATTTCCTCACAGTACACACCACACCTCTTTACAACAGTAGATTTACAATTTGATCACTCACAACTATTTACTCACAAGAGTAGATTTACAATTACAATTTGGTCAGTTACGACTATTTTTTCAGAATATAATAATATTTGGTAAGATGAAAAATAAATAAAATTGGAAGGTTAATGGGAGGGTTTAGAAAAATTTAGATGGAAGAAATTGTATGTTGTGAAAAAGATGGAGAGAGTTGAGTTTAAATAGGGTGGAGGGGGCAAAAATAGGAATTGATGGGACACTACAAAAAATGAATTGAAATGTTAATTTTTTATTTTTAAAAATTTATAGTTAAAAAACGTAGACCAGTGTTTTATTTTTATTTTTTTAAAAGTAAATATTAAAACCTTTCAAATTTAGGGGGAGTATCTTAGAGAACGTAACAAGAATAACATAGAAAGTAACCAAGCATGAGACAACGATCAAGGACTAAAACATGAATCATGATCCAAGTTCTGAAGACAAGAACCCAGAACAATAGTACCAAGGCCCTTAGATTAGAATCAAGGTTGAGACCTCGAATAAATCATGATAAGGACTCCCAAGTCAAAAACAGAACTAAAGGGGTCTAAGTACTTGCTACAAGAACCAGAACAAGTCAACAAAGAGTGTGGTACTCTAGCATATTATAGACACGATTAAGAGCCTACAAGTAGACTACTTATTAAGTCTTTGTACTCACTCCATTTTTTCCATGTTTTTCAGGTAAATAAGAAGCTGGTCAAGGTTGGGAGCGGACTTTAGAGTACGTGCCATAGGCAAGCCTCAACCGTCATCCTCAACCTCTTTTGTTTTAAATACTTTGTGTTAGTTTCTTATTTGGTGTTATAACTACTTATGTATGAACTCTATTTTGAAAAAATGTAAATACGTTGTATATAATGTTTCACAAAAAAAAAAAAAAAAAAAACGTCTTTTTACACTAT